TAGGGAAAAAGTTACCCGTAGAAAACAGATACACCACATTAATGCATACACATTTGCTTAAATTGTTTAACAGGGACGTTCAGTGTGAACATTTGGTGTTGCCAGAGAACAGAATGTTCTATACAAACAAGGCTGAGCTGAACTACTTACCAGGGAAAGCAGGCGACTGCCTGAGGGCCAAAGATAGTACCAGGTGCCAGGTACTATCCCCAATATTTGACCGATGGAAAAACAAATGAGGGGAGTACAGCCGAGCTAGTACCAGGCGAAATCAGGGAAAGCAGGTGACTGCCTGAGAGCCCCGGGTCCCCATGGGGCCTAAATGTTTTTGTGCTAATTACTAATTTGTTACAGAATTTGAACTGAAAAATTCTATAACAAGTCAGATCCTATGTAATTAGCTGATGGAGGGAGGTGGTGCCATAACATATTCATTAACGTAGATGACCTGTATAAGAATTTAGTCTTAACGAGACACTTTTCTACTTTCCTGCTCTTTTGCAATGAATCGGACCTACTTTAAAAGTGCAGTGTGTGAGATTCACTGACACCTAGTGGTGAGGTTGCAGATTGCAATGTTCAGCGAAGCTCTTGTACTTTGTGTTAAACAGCCCTCACAGCTGTTTCACAGTAATTACCGTAAGTGTAGGACAAACTGTGGACTCAGAAAACACTTGACCAAGCTAAAGCTAACAGCGGCTCACTCGATGGCAGTGGGTTACCAGCACTGGTCATGTTCGGGCTAAAGCTGTCACACAGATACTTGTATTTAGGTTAACTTTACTTGTTAGGCTAAATTACCTGTCCAGCAGAAAACAGGTGACTTTGGTGTCACTCTGGAAACATTTGCCCCTTATCAAGGATTTCCAACGGAAAAGGGCCACACCAGTGTTTATCCTTATCTTGTGCCATCACCTATCTCATTTCTCCATGTGTTTGCTTCTTCAGTGATGGGGGTTCACGTCATCTTTTTCTTGTGTGAAAGTATAACTATAATCTTCCATTTCTTTAAATGTATAGTCCTTAATCTCAGGACTGTTCTTCTTCTTGTTTCTAATGTTACTTTTTCTTTGCCTTCCAAGCATCTCCAAATCGAAGCTGCTACTTCAACATGAAAATTCTAAATTCACGCTGTACAGCCAGTGTGTGGTTTGTCCATTCTGGGCTACTGTAGAAAGCATGGCGGCTCAACATGGCGGCCTCCATGATAGGGGACCCACTTCTCTGTGGGTTCATTCTAAAGCTCATTCTAAGCTAAAGAAAAGGGCAAAATCTTTTTTTGGAAACAGCTACAGAAGCATATGAAGTGACACAAATTGTGCTTTACAAAATGCTTTTAAAGTGAATTTAATTTCCAGTGGCTGAAAGGTGTAACGTCCTTCACCTCTCTGCACCTACACACTGCGCCGCAGTCTGCTTCTGTTTTTAGTTTTTCTCTGTCTCTGTCTTTTCTTCTTGGCTTCCTCTTATTCTGACTGAGTCATACATGCTTATGAAAGCCCGGAGACAGCGTTCTGCCAAGACCAAAGCCAGCTCGTTTTTGCACACCAACACACTTACTTGTCTTTGTGTTTTTAGCCTTGAGATGACTTTCTCTCCCCTCTGGTCTCTTCTCCCTCTTTTTTGTCTGCTGCTTATGAGGAGAACAAAAGGGCCAGAGTTCCTCCTCTGTCCTTCAGCTTCCTCGAATCCCCTGTGCCATCTTCACTTCTCTCAAATGAGTTGTTTTTGTGGTTGTCGAGTCAAGAGTATCACTCACCACCACTTCTACAGGAGATAACACAACTAGATGCCATGTGTTTTTCTTTTCTGAGTGACGATCTCTCTCTCCGCACCTCGTTTTTCAGCCTCTCTTTCTGTGCTATGAGGTGGAGAGCTTTAAGAGGAAATGTGGCATTTGATTGGGCTCTTACTGGCCTTGTTATTCACAGGCTTTTCACACTGTTGTTGTTTTCTCATAGTTAAATAAACCACCTGGCCTCATCTGCACTTGCTTAACTTGAGGGAACTGCAGTGGCCCTCTCGCCCGCTTCACTGTTGCTCCAGAGCTGACACTAATTTCACTGGTGTCAGGAAAACTGTGGCCCCTCTCTTCTCTCCCTGTGTTTATTTTAAATTAGCAACAGTAGTCTTGAAAGGGATCTCAGCCAGTTGGACCAAATGAGCCCACTCTGAAGCCCCAGTGGTGACCCAGATGCACTTTTCCCCTTTTTTGTAAAACAGCGCTTTGGATTTAAATGAGTTTGTTAGTGTCACTGAGATGCAGGAAAAGTTCCACGGCTGTGGCCACAAGCCTTTACAGCTGCAACAACTCCTCTGTTTCCTTCTTTCGGTTTTGTTTGGCTCCTCATTAGCCGACACTTCAGCAACTGTTCGTCCAAAAAAGAACATCAGCAACAAAAAGATGAACACGGTTCAACATGAGAAACATTAATTGACAGAGAGAGGTTTGGCAAGTACAAGATAACTCCTCAAAGAAATGAACAAGTGATAAATATATGGATTGTATATGGGCCAGAAACACATATAGACAAGACTGAGTCTTGTCAAATTATTTTATCGGTGTAGATTTTCATTACATGATTTGATTAGGGAAGAACTGCCTCTCTACTGTTTTTGTTCTCTAAATAGCAGTATAGCTGAAGAAATGTCTACTTCATCCAGCAGGAGCCTGTAGTAGGTGTAAATGCTCACTGTTAACAGCTTAAGACGCAGGTGGAGCTGATTTCACGTCAGGTTTTGTCTTCAGGTGGCCACGGTGGTCGACGATGTTCCATTTCAGGATGTCCCAGGTAAAAACTAAATATCCTGTGGTGACATCTTTGGTCATCTATCAACAAGGATGGGTTTCTGTATATCATGCTATGATACATGTCTGCTAACAGATGATTTTGGTTACCATCCATAGGCAGCTTGTCTCAGATTTAGGACAAAACAGCCATGTGAATATTGTTAAGCCTAAAGTTCCTTCACCAAACTATAAGCCATTTTTATAAACTGGTCATAGTAGGAAACACACAGGAGTTATTAATAACATCAACTGAGTCAGTTCTATTTTGTTAATCATCCCAGCAAAGTGACACACCCTGGTACCTAACAGCAGAAAGGTTCCGGGTTCGATCCCCGGCCAACCCGGGGCCTTTCTGTGTGGAGTCTGCTTGTTCTTCCTGCGCCTGCCTGAGTTCCCTCCGGCTTCGTCCCAAAGACGTGCAGCTTAGGTTTTTAGAAGCACAACAATATAACACATTACTGCTTGATTTCAGATGTTGTTTCATTTAAGTCGAAACTAAAAACGTATTTAAATTATTTAAATTGGCTTTCAGTTCCTAGTAGAGCTCTGACTTTCTAATTTACTCTTTAGCGTTTGACCTTTTTTTATTGATGATAGTATTTTATTGGTTTTTTTTGTTTGTTTGTTTGTTTTTGCTTTGCCTTTTTTATTGTCTGGTTTTTATTGTTGATGGTTTGTAAGTTTTTAATTTTTTTATTTTATTGTTGTGCTTCTCATTTCACTCTCTGACTTTGTTCAGTCTGCTGGTTGTTCTAAAGTGCCATACAAATAAAGGTTGATTGGATTTGAAGTGTAAGCATAGAGGGGGTTTTGGTTATACCATGTTAACCAGTGACGTGCGTCTGCTTACAGTTTGTTTTATTTAGTGGCACTATGAACACAATCTTTCAATCTGACATGTCATAGAGTTGGTATTCTCCAGTCTGACAGGTTGTCAACATGACTTTATTAGACCCTTCTCAGTGTGACAGACAGCGAACTTTTAAGATCGATGTATGGCACCGTCTGTAGGCACCTGAAGATAAGTGTCAAAGTAGTCGAGTCTCCATTTCTGTCGAAAGTAACTAGGTTCTGATGGTAAGACATATATTTTCTTTGATTTCATTTT